GTAACCCCCCACCTCATGCTCTCCTAGGCCCTGTGTGAGCCACGTGGACTGTGTAACCCCCCACCTCATGCTCTCCTAGGCCCTGTGTGAGCCACAGGTCTCTTCCAACATCTCTCTGGTCAGCTGACCATCTATGGGCTCTTGGGGCACATGGTTGGCCACCCTGCCATTTTCAGCTTGTTCCTTTCAGGCAGACCACATGGATACAGGGGCCGTGGGTCTGGGGTCTCCACGGTAAGGCTTTGCTTTAGTTAGAAAGTCTTCCCAGCCCAGCATATCTGTCTGGGCTCTCCGGAGACAGACCAACAGCACAAATAGAGAGATACACACAGCTATAGACATATGGGAGGAAATACACAGGGGAATTGGTCCACATGATCATGGAGGCTGACAAGCCCCACAACAGGCCATCTGCCTGCTGTAGGTGCAGCTCAGCCCAGCCCAGGCCTGAGCCCCAGAACTCGGGAAACAGATGGTGTGACTCAGCCCTATAGTCCCAGAGCTGGGGAGTGAGGAGCTGCCGTACATGCACAGGAGAGGAAGAGTGTCCCGGCTTCAGCCTTTCTCTCTATTTGTCCTCTTTGGGTCCCATGAAGTGGCTAAGTCCTGTAGGTTTCACCCCCTGGGATCTCTCCAATCTACCCAAATATCTATACCCCTGTTCATACCGTGTTCTCCCTGCTCCAAGCCCCCATCTCTCTTACCAGAACCCTGCCACAGCCTTGTCAGCTGCTTGCCCAAATCCTCATACGACAATTCATTTCCTCCCCAATTTATTTTCTATTCTCCAGACAGAATATCATGATTATCTCTGAAATCCCATCGGCATGCACCTGTTGAAAGGGAGGCCCCCAACAGTACTTCTGTGTTTTGTTTTCTTGTGCTTATTTCGAGAATATTTCAAAGTAACTGCACACAAGTTATCCATAATCACAAACGGAATCCTCTGTAACTCTCACACCTTTTTTTTCAGAAATAGTCCTTTTTGACTAGAAATTTACACATTGCTATTTCAAGTTGTATGCCCATCGGAAAGTATATGGAACTCAAACTCATTGGGGAACTTGGAAGACCCATGACTTCCAAAATGGTCCTTGGGCCTGGTACAGCAGGTCATTTTTCCTGGAAAAACTAATGAGTCCAAACTGCAATGAAGCTCATTTACTTTGTTTTGTCCGAGGAAAGTTCCCAAGCCTTGGGGGAATACTCCATTAGACCTCCCTAGTTTCCAGATCTTTCCATTAGGCACCAAGGATATGTCCTGAGATCTTTGCTATGGTTTTGCAAACCAGTGTTCACTTTCTTTATGCTCAAGTAAAGTATCTCAAAGAGACCTTTGTCTTTATGCTCAAGTGTTTCAAAGAGACTACAGTTCGAGGGCTACAATGATTGTAAGTGTAACACAGTCCGAATATTACAAACACGGTGGGCAAACTTAATAGCCAGGACAGTTGACAGTTGCATCAACATTGTAGAAAGTGGATCCCCTGCAATAGTTCAGTGGAGATGAAAAGTAAACTCTGTGAGGCCTGACTGTGTTTGCCTCATGATGGTTTCATCCACTCATTCGATTGTTTGTTCCTTCAGGCCATCTTGGAGCAGGAACTGCAGGGCTCGGGGATGAGGGGCAAGGTGTAGTTGAAGCTTTGTGAGGTTTGGAAACAATGGGAAAACTGTCGCCCTGAATGTTCCTTTTCTGCTCACACATTCAGGCATCCATGCCAGTAAGTTTGGGGGCTCGGTCAGTTTCTGGGGCCGGGTGGGCACGGCAGGCACTGCTCCCACAACGGTTCCTACCCGTAGCACTGGGGGGATTTTTGTATTGACGTCTGGCCCTTTCTCTCGGAGGGAGTGGACGGGACACTCTGGCCACGCTCTTCTGGGCTTCGAACCCCGCGTGGCGGTTCCAGACGCCTTGGACATTGTCCCCACCTTTGAGGAGGGCAGACTTCAGTCTCCACCGATGCCTGTTTGGCGCGGCCTGCAGTGGACTGTCCACAGCCCAGCCACGCAGCCCGGTCGTCGGGACTGCCCACGGCGGGGCTTCCTTCCTGCCCACGCCCACACGGAACACAGCACATGCACATGCATGTTACCAGCTGTCCACGCCACCGTAATGTACCAGGAGTTTCACAGGGGACACACCTGTTGCCCACCTCCTATACAGTTCAAGGCACATACGCCAGCACTGCGCGGGCGCAGTCGGGGCTCCGCACGGCCCCGGCGGACCAGCAGCATTACCGATTTCTTCAAGGAAACTCTAGAAGTTTCCGGAACCGCAGAGCCGGTCCAGCAGCGGTAGCAGGTACGACCGGCAGCGCGAACACAGCCTACCTAAGTCACTATGACTACAAGTCCCAGCATCCCCTGGAGCGGGGACGAGACGGGCGACCCGAGTTTAGAGAGACTACAAGTCCCGGCAGGCACGGTAGAGACGACGGGACTGCAAATCCCACAGTGCTCCGCACACAATCTGCGCAGGGCGTTCTGGGACTTGTAGTCGCGAGGTGAACGAATTCCTCGCCATTCCATCTCAAAGACGATGCAGGTTTCCTCAATCGGTCCTCGGGAGCGATTGCTCCTGGGCTGGCAAGGAGCCTGGGCGTCTATGGGGACGCATGAGCCTAGGGCAGACAGCACTCCAGCTCGGAGCAGAGCGCCCGCGCATGCTCGCCGAGAGTCCGAGAGGGCGGGAGCGCGAGCAGCCGGCCTCGGCGCCCGCAGGCCCCGCCCTGCATTCCGCGCCCTGCGCCCCGCCCTCAGTGAGCATGCGTGGAGGACGGGGGTAGCGCGCCGAGGGGAGGTGCTCGCAGCGCCTGCGCAGAGCGGCGGCTTCTCTCGCGAGGACGGACGCCATTATCGCATCTCCCCGACAAACACCACGAGAATTCCGCAGCCCACACGGTAATTGCAGCTCCCGCAGTCGGTCGCGTCTCCACCTCCCCCTTCCCGCGGGGCGAGAGCGAGAGCGAGAGCGAGATCTCCCCTCCTCCCTGCGGCCTCCGCTCGCCCGGCCGCTGTCCCCGCCCCTGTCCACCGCCCGGCCCGGCCCGCAGAGCCCCGTCGCCGCTGAGCCCCGGTGCCGGGCTCGGGCCCGGGCCCCCGGGGACCGCGCGCGGGCCGCTCCGCAGCGCCTCGTCCCTGGGCTCCGCCTCTGCGCGCGCGAGTCGGCCCCGCCACCGGCCCCAGTGCGGCGTCGGTGGGCCCGGCCGGCCTCCGCGTCGGGGCTGGGGGCGTCCGGGCCGCGTGCGCCTCGGCCGGCCGTCGGGGCGGCGCTGCCCCGGGGACGGCTGGGGGACCCCCCACCCCGCCGCGTGCCGTTGAGTCGCCGCTGGGACTGTGGACTCGATGGGCGTCCTTTTGCGCCTCCTGAGTTAGTGGCAGCGACGCAGCTCGGTGGCCGGAGCATGCAGCCGCGGCCTCGGTGTTCGCTGGCTGCTCCGCACCGCGAAGGAGGGCGCGGGCCGGACTGGTTCCCCGCGGGCCCTGGCGAGCCGGCCTCTGTCCTGCACGCTGGACGCTTCTGCCATTGCTGTGACGGTCCTCGGACCTGTGGCTGTTGTTTCCCCAGGATGCGCAGAGTAGAGGACGCCAGTGCCTGCGGTGCGAGCGTAGCGCAGACGCTGCTGCGTAGGGGCCGGAGTTCCACCGCGGAGCTGAGGGTGGCTTGGGTGCTAGGGAAGTAAACGTTCTGGAGGGACAGGGAACAGGTGGCGCGAATGGGCTTTCAGGATAGCCGCTTACAGTCCCTGCCAGGCAGGGCCGGCGGCGCCTGTCAAGAGAGGACAGCTTACTCCGCTGGAGGGACCGCGCATGGAGCAGGCTTCCTGGGGAAGGGCGCAGCTGCGATTCCGGGGAACAGGACAGTACCTTCGAGGGGTCAGTGGTCTG